CGTCGTGTACTGAGGAAATTAAAAGTAAAAATACCTGATTAAGCCACGAATGAGACAAAAATATTGGCAAATAGTATAAGGCAATTAAATAAAATTTATACCTTTAACTGTTATTATTCCATTTCAAAAAAGTCTTTTAAAGACGCAACTTGTAAAAAACTATAGCAAAACACTTTGATGGAACTGTTATGTTTATATTTTTTAGAGAAAATAAAGGTAATCTTAATATTAAAAGAAAATTTGAAATTGAAATTGTCTAAGCTTGGGTATTCTATCTAATCCTAGTCTCCTTGAGAAGTGAACACCTGGGTTGATAAGGGCACCCTCTAGCTCAAATCCAGAGCCTTGTTTACATAAGTCGCGGAGGCTCTACGAAGAAAGACGAACTCAAAAAGATACTTAAAACATAATATCGATCTTCCGAACTGTATGCAATCATTTGATATCAATCTTGGTACTTTTCAGTGACATAAGAAAGTACCCGGTCCTCGGCAGTTTTTCCCATGTGCCGATGGGGCCGACAAGACGGAAAGTTAAACAAGCGAACACACAGCGAAGTGATCAAGCTCGGTTCCTTTGAGACACACTAGTCTAATTATCAAGCTCTTTTGATGACTCGCGTTAAAATAAGACCTTTTGTATATACTTTTGACCGCAATGGATCGAAAAGGACGGGCTGTAAAATAATACGCGAACACAAAAACGAGTTATATACAACAAAAAGTGACCAAGCACGCGCCTGACTCGAGCTCGCAACAGAAATATAAAGATGTAAACTACAGYAATTTTCGACGTAGTAGAAACTGAATTATTTCAACTTTTGAAAAACGTAGACATTCAGGGCGAAATTGYCTTTTSAATTGTTTTTACGGACAAAGGCATAATTGTGATGATAATATGAAATTGTGTAATTARACAACGACTGCCCGATACCAGTGAATTGTAGTTCGTTGAGTTTCAATTGTAAGCCACAAGAAGGTGAAAATGGGGGTATTTTCTTCAGAGTGTTTTATTGTCTCATAGCTATCTTACTACTTCTGTTAACCTTCACACAGGTGGTATATATGTATAACTTTAAGTTAAACTTCTTTTGTTGAAAAAAGCTTACGACTTTTGGTCTTTAGATGGGCCTTCAAAACAGCTATTGATATAGCAGCGTGGTTCATGAAATCTCAAAATGAAAAGTCTCCTAACAAGAATCGACTGATATTCTACAAATTTGCTAAGAACAAAAATATAAATTACACTAAATAATAAACAAGAATTTTCTTTGAAGCACATTCTAAATACATTTTTTTTTTCATGCTGAATTTGTATACATATTGTATTTGCTATTATACATTCGAATGTTGATTTTAAAGTCGATGTAACTTAAATTGCCTTGGGCCGTAACGTTTAAAGTGATAATTACCTAGGTGTGGTTACGTAAATATAGCAGAATTCTCTGCTGTTTTAACTCCTAGAGGGAATCCGTAAGTTTCATCTTGTGGAAGTTACATGTTACATTGAAACATAGTTCAAATCATTCACAAAGACTTTGACAAACAGAAATGGCAACCTGTATTTTTCACTAGCGAGGTTGAAGTGTATGTATATCATTTCAATTCCCGAGATAACACAAACTGAGAATTAAAGGTATCGAAGAAGTGCAAATTATCATAACACAATTGCAAAAACTTGTATTTTCAAATAACAATAATGATCAAAAAAAGCGATCATAACAAATAGGTGTACTTTTCCTTGGACGGCATGAAGAACATCCACAAGATTCGAGAAGTTTCTAAATTATGCTCTTAAGCTAAAGGTCTAGCTTTCAATTAAGCCGATTTATTTTTAGTGTAATATCGTAAATCAAGTTTTAAATCCATTTAAACAAGGAAAAGTAAATTTGATAAATTATTCAAGGTATTGATTGCGTATATTGACTTTGTCGAGTAGCGCGGATCAAATCATTTGACAAGCTCACATGCCTCAAGTCATTTACCAAATATGTATCTTCGACAAGGGGAAAAAAAATGAAAAATGAAACAGAAATAAAACTGAAACGATTGCTTTTTGAAAGTTTCGTAAAATTTGTAAAACTACGTATCTAAGTTAAAGTTGTTTGAATGTTTACGAAAGAAAGCTCTCGTGGAGTAATTTAGTTTTCCTTTTGTTTGGAAAGTCAACGCGATTGTTTTGGCAAGAAAGCCGAAAGTTTGTATTGAATTCTCTTGAAGTCCTTTAAAACCTAAAAAAACAACCATCCACGAAAACAAAACATATTTTTTCAATTTAGTCAATCACCGGAAATAGGCGCTAAATTAGTTTTTAAAACGTCTTTCAATGTATCCTTACACTTCCTCTCTCTCAAAGTGATGTAGCCATCTTAGTGCAATTAAAATGGAGCTTCCGTTATTTTGCTATCAAATACGACACAATTTTGACAATGAAATCAACGCGGAGCCCCCTTTCTCGCGGGAACTGAGAATATCCATTAAATGTGTTGTTTAAGTTTCTAATAAACCTTTAAAGTGTACATTAATACTTGGCGAAAAAATGAGCAAATCTTCACTTCCTTGGTCCTTGTTAATCCGAAATCTTCCTTTCATGACTTGGGCCACTCTGTTCCTTAGCTTTAAGAAGTCTCTTATAATTTATTGACTACCATCATTAACAAAAAATCAAAAGAAAGCTTTCCCTTGGCGTATATTTCTTATTTCCGCGCATAATCCGATTATTTTCATATTAGACTGTTCAGAGAATTTTTATTGACTATTTTCCTCCCTTTAAACCTGAAGTTTAATTCACAGGCCATTTGTTTTTTTTCTATACAGAAAAAAGGCTTAAGATTCTATTGATTGCATTCATTAAAAGTAATTAACGCTTCGACGCAACATGAGGAAAGTTCACTAACTGAGCTCCTTTCAGATTGAGAAAAAGCGCGTGATTTGTTATGACGCATGCGTGATATGTAATATCTCATGTCATGGTTAATTTTGACGGGCCGGTAGTACTACTAAGAGTCTATTCAGTCAAACGATATTAAGTCCTTGAATCCTTGGGGGATTTCCAACGCGATTTCACGATACAAAGACAATTCTTTTCAAAGCAAGWAAACACCAATTTGGGGCAATTCTCTCAGATATAAATACACGCATTAACAATCGCGCAAAAAAAGTAAAGGTGCGCGCTTTTCTTCTTTTTCGCCATAAACAWAWAATTAAGAAAAAAACATTAAAAGCTGCTCATTGGCATTGATKTATTGGCGTGATCGTTTTTGATATCATCTGATGAATGACATCGAAATGAAGGAAGAAAATTACTACAACGTGATGCGATTCACGGTTGTAAATAACGGTCAAATAATCATCATCGCTTAAATTGCTTTTTTTCTACGTCAAACAATTTAATAGCTCGAGGTTAGTGCTSGGACAATGACACGTAAAAGCTGAGTAAAACCCATCAGAGTACTAATGATTCATAGGTCAATCTGTGAGTAATTTCCGGCCGTATAGATCTCAGTGTGATTTTTGTTAATGAAGACTTAACAGGCAAAAGTGTGGTGTTTGTAAGATCGTAATACAGTGCACCAAAGATCAATCAGAACCACCACTAGACGCATATATTGTGATATAAGATTTCCTCCAAGATAAATTGAAATCTGAGCATTAATAATGCATTTTCTAGAAGGAAGACCACTTGGGGAGTTACTGCTGGAAAATAAAGCTCATAGTTTATTAACTATAAAGTGCTTTTTTTTGATACAATTCAGTTGCATGAGAAATACTAAGAAATAGCTCGGCTGATCATTAGACACTTAGTTAAACGATAAGCTTAATCAAGCAATTTGGATTCTTTTTGTTGCGCGTCTCAACTCCTAGATACCCAATGCAATGGGAGGAAAGCGAAAAGGATTGCTTAGTTCCAATATCATTTCTCTAATCGCATTTTTGTAAACTTCCTTGAAAGGTTCAAGCAGTTATTTTGTTGAATTGATACTATCACTGCCTACAGGGGGGCGAGAAACATAAAAGTCCCTTAATGAGGTATTTAAGACCCTAATCATCAGTAGATTTGATACATAAGAAACGAAATAAGAATAACAACCTCACTGACATTGTGGCCGAAATATTTTTACGAGCCTGTCTAGAAATTAAATTTACTCGAAGTGTAATTTTTCATCGACGACCGTAATGAGCCAAGCAGTGAAAGAACTAATTACTGTGGACAATCGAATTGTGTTAATTTAACACCTAGTTCTCATGACGGCAATAAACTGTCAGAAATACAAGTGAAATTGGAGTTTAAACTGCTCGTCTGTTGTGTTTAATGCTCAGTTTGCGTCGGTTAACATTTATGTTTATTGAAGTAACTTCTTTATTGGGTTTGTACAAAGGTCGCTATGAAACCAAACTGAATGCCCTTCAATGTTCACTTGGCTCTCTTGCTTTCGATTACAGGTTTCTCATTGAAAACCCGTACAGGGATTAATGGTTTACGCGAATGCTCAATGCGAAGCTTCCCTTGCATTCACACGCCGTGTTTGTTGGGTTTTTTTTTTTTCACAAGCGAAAAAAGGGTTCACCAGCAACGGGATACACTGCAAAACGTCGTAGTAGATCTAGAACAAAGACCTTTAGGAATGGACTTCTAAAGGCCCCTAAAAAAAATACCCAGATACAGTATTAATGAGAGTGAAACAAGTGTACACGCAAGAATAGCAGTCTGCCCTTGTGCATATTCATGTTGATAGTATATGACGGCAAAGGCGCCCAATCACTTTGTATCCAAGCGGTTTCAAGGGGTCTCGTCATTGGGTGGTAGGGGTTGGGTTAGGTTCTCAATACCATTATTAGATTATACTACACTCTAGCCTTGTCAGCTCACGTGGACTAAACACATTTAGCTACCATCTGTCGTAGTATTTATTATTCTATTAATGATAAACAACAGCTGCTCAGGGCATGGTAGAATTCCATGTGAACACAACTACAAAGAAATACGCTGTGGACGAGATTGCCTCTTTTCACCAGMCCCTGGACCTACTCGCTCAGGGCACTCTTTGATTTGGCAATCTAAGCTATTAATAAATTCTGTTCACAGCTGCAGACAAAATAGCTCACTCCTTATTTAATTCGATTTGAAGAAGCTGTAACTGGATATAAAGTCTGGGTGATCAAGCATACTGATCATTCATTCAAGTAAGGCTTTGGAGTAAGCAAGACTGGAAGTCAACGCACACTACCCAAAGGTTCGATTTTGTGCACATCMAAATTACATGCCTGTCAAATTTCGCCTACYATCCTTCAACAGGATTAAAGTTGACCACTTGTTTTCCTTCGTCTCTTATGTTTTTAGGATTTTTGGAAAACTTTCGTGGACGTTTGCTGTATATTATTGAAGGATTTGCCTTGGAAAGGACACTCCCAAAATGGCACACCAAAGTAAGCAATGTCACATATTTCTCGTGCGCTTCGACATTTAACTTGATTTTTACATGAGACATTCTTCGTTCTAACTCAGTGTAGCTTTAATTGATTCGCTTTTCTACTAGAACAAGTATCTAAGCAAAATTTTGCTGCATTAATTATTAAAAATGTCGTATTTAGTGACCTAGAATTTGGGTATTTTGTAACATGTGTTGTCMGTGAAGAACAYGGTTTAGTGTCATGCCAAAACAACACATCGTTTAGCAGTTTTCAGGCATTTGTAAGTCGTAACGAAGCAAGGTTACGCGGGTCCTAAACGAATCGTCAGAATAATATAAATAGAGTAGTTTAAGTTTTGTTAAGGCACAGCGTGATGGTAAAGAAAATCACTCCTTCTCTTGATATATTTAGACAAGCAATCACTTTACATATGTGATGTATCAAAAAGAACTCCAAAGAAGTGTTGATGGGTTGATAATTTGGATATAAATGAAAACAGTTTGCGAATTTGTTAAAAATGGATCCATGAATACCTCTAAGTCTCCTTAAACTGACCCTTTAATCCGTCGAAAAAGTTTGAAGTGACATTCATTACGGTTAAATTGTCTTTCAATCGTCATTCACTGCTTTGGAGAGAACTTCAAGTTAAGGCATTACAGAGAAAGCAAATTCGCTAAAGCGCTTCCATGTATTTCATCAATATTCACACAAATATACCTTATTAAGAAGTTGAAAATGTCGTTACTTTTTACATAAAGTTAACATTTGAAGTTATTGATGAGACAAAGTTAAAGTTTGCATCTTAAACCTACTAAGTCCATTGCAGGAATCCTAACGATTCGAGCCAGTTTATTTGCGAACCAAAAATCAGTGAACCTTCATAAGATTTATTCCCGAAAAACAATTASAGAGAGAAATAAAAAGATCATGATCTGATAGAACGTGTAAAGACAACAGGCGCTACTAAAGTTTTGTTTAAAACAACATTAATTTTTTTGAAAAAGTATTGCTAATACAAAAATTTAGTCGCCAATATATGAAACTAGGTATATTTCCACCAAATGAGATATATTTATATACAATAGAAATTACTTTTTAATCTAAAGCTAAGCATCTTTTGAATTCTGTGGCTTTTGAAGCCATGAATTGGTTTTTGATAAGAGCATGATACAATCAGTGATTTCTTTAGAAATGACCGAATAAGATTTAACCTGATAGATATTTCGATATTGACACAATCAGATAGTCAACACCCATTTAGCGCCAATTTCAAGTACGTCGTCAGTCTTTTTGCACTTTTCAGATCGTATCAGATACAAAAAAAAAACACAAAAAGTATCAAAATTACAATTTTTAGCCTCAGTTAATAAAGAAGGTTCATTATTGAATGATTTCCGTTAGTTTGGGTTTTGATCAAATACGGGTAATTATTGGTAGTGTTTTACTAAACACACAAGACAGATGCAAAATAGAGACACCACAGCACAATGAGAGTATAGCTTAGGGAAGCTTTCGCTGCATAGCAACGGTGATTTGGACCAAAATCTTCTCTTTTGAACTTTTCTTTGTCTGGGAATTGAATCTAATTTCGACTTACTGCATTATTTGGATGAAAAGTAATCATTTTTATAAAGAAAAAAATGACAAAATTAACTTTTTTGGCAACCTGTATTGAGCGTGTGCCCTCATCAAATGTGRTGTTTATCGATTTTTTTCATCTTCAAAGAARCACTGATTTAGCATTTGATGAATATTCAACAATTTCTTATCAGCTCTAAGCGATTTGTAAGCTTCGTTAACAAAATAAGAATTTATGAAATCCTTCAGAACTCGAGATTATCAAAAGCTTACTTCTAAATATTAGCCTAAGTGGGACTTGCACATAATCAAACAATATCCATTACAAATAAATATATCCATTTAAGATTATTGAATCCCACTAAAATTAATTGTTAAAACATTCTTTTTTAAACAATAAAAACACTGACTTTGAAAGCAAATTAGTCGCTTCATGGACATTTTTCTATGTAATTTTAATTTTAAAAACATTGACTTTTTGGTACGCTTTCAATACAAAAACCACAAACTTTGTTAGCATTTATTCGGKGCAGAATTCATTCAAGAACWATGTTTCGTTATATACCAAATATACCCCAAAAAACACTGATTTTGACACGAAATATGTGCTAGACTTTGAAAGCAAATTATAGTCGATGCAGAATTCATTCAAGAACAATATTTCATTATATAACAAATTTCTMAATCAATAMTCGGCAAAAACCTTAAAGGCGAGGAGAAGCGTGCGGACAAAAAGGGAATCGTGAGCGAAGCGCGCTTTRTCGCACAAGTTTTCTTTTTTCTGAAAAGCTCACAAAAGTTGATTACATAACTAACGAGCAGTATGAAGTTGAATTAAAAACACAAGTTTTTATTTAATTCTATATAAACTTCTGATTGTAATCTATTGGCAATTCTTCTTCTACTGTATTAACAGTCTTGATAAGAATCAAATTATGATGTTGTCTTCATTGAATACGTTTTGGTAATTAAAGCTCCAATCAAGAGAAATCTTTTAACCATTTTATTTACATAATGATAGCTATCAAATCAAATTTGTCTTTATTCTTTATCAACACAATCAAATCTTCATTCAAATGGCAAAACTATGTTAGAAGCTTGAATAATCTGAAATTTGAATAGAAAAGATATAAAACGACGCCATGTGCCAAAAACTGGCTGGAATTAACATTTTCTGAAAAAGGCAAAGGATCAAACACTTAAAATACAACATGAAGCGAGGAAATTTACGGCCTGCGAACCTTGCTTATTTTTTACGAGATGATCACTTTTGATGATTTCAAACTGAAGTTTAATATAACACAATATAAAAAATCGTAATCATGTCTTTGTAATAACAATATAATTGAGTTATCCTAACTTTATTCAATACTTATTATAATGAATATTCATCATATTCGTGATCTTACAACTGGGCACCATACCTTGCCCTTTTTAGCCTTTGTAGCATAAACCTCAGCAACAACATTGATATTAAAGTTAATTTACCTAAAAGCTAAATTGTAAATTAATAAGAATTTCTTGCTTTCTTTCAGTTCCTATTCCCTTCCATTTACAATTTCAAAATCACGGTGGAATGAACCAATTAGGTGGCGCCTTCGTTAATGGGCGTCCTCTKCCTGATTACATTCGTCACAGAATTATYCAACTGGCAGCTTATGGCGTTCGTCCCTGTGAGATTTCAAGACGTTTGCTGGTTTCGCACGGCTGCGTCAGYAAGATTCTMGGCCGRTATTATGAAACTGGGTCTATAAGGCCTGGTTCCATAGGCGGAAGTAAGCCTAAGGTTGCCACTCCCCCAGTGGTGTCGAAAATTCTACAGTACAAGCAACAGAACCCTACAATCTTTGCTTGGGAAATCAGGGAYCGTCTCGTTGAAGAAGGGATTTGTGATCGTGAAAACACACCAAGTGTCAGCTCAATTAACCGAATTCTGAGAAACAAAGCCGCAGAACGGGCTGCACAGTTTGCTATGTTGGAACGAGAGAGACAACATCTTGCGAGTTTGTATGGACTACACCCCTGGGGGGCCGTGTCAGAGTCTCAAATCCAATGGGGTTTTCCAACGTACCACCATACGCAAACTGGAGAAGACGAAAGGCTTATACAACAAGACCTGGAGAGAAAAATACTTGCGGAATCGTATCCTGAAGAAATGGCGTCTAAGTCATCGGATTATGAAAGAGAAGAGTCTAAATTGGTATCCAGAGGTATGACTGACTATTTGAATCCTTTTTTTTTTGTCTAAATATTTTAACATATACATCAATGAAACGATTTTACAAAGCCTTATAGCTTGCAATTTTTGAGGAAAAAGAAAATACTGAAAACGGGGTCCCAAACTTCAAATGATGGTTTATATAACTTCAATAACTAATACAGAATGTTTTCAAAATTCAAACTAAACCACTTTAAAATGTTTACCCACAGAAGAATCAACATTAGCAACAAGAGAAAGCGAGAAGCAACCTACAATAGAAGATCGAGAGTCATTCATCGGAAAAACGAACCATGAACGAAGCTTTCACGACGAGGCCGATTACCCTCACGACCACGACGACGACATCAACATCAAAGTCGACGACAACAGCACGAACGACAGCAACTCGGTTCACGACGTCAGCAGTGACGACGAGCGGACGAAAAGCGACGATATTCAAGCGAATCACAAAAGAAAATTGAGACGGAACAGAACAACSTTCAGCCCTGACCAGCTGGAAATGCTAGAAAAAGAATTTGAAAAATCGCATTATCCCGATGTTGCAACCAGAGAGGAACTGGCCAACARAATTGACATGTCAGAAGCCAGAGTACAGGTGGGAAAATATTCACTTGCAATTTTTCTCTGTACTATGTTTTAACATTGCCATTTTGAAATCTATTGCACTCGAAAAGATATCATGAACGCCCGGGGAGTCCTTAAAGAGAAATGTTTGAACTCTCTACAAGTTTAAGAATGAGATTTCCAATTTTAGTATCAACTGTGAAAAGTAGACCCATGTTTTTATGGTTGATCTCTAACACAGATATTTAGCCCATGATTGCAGCCGTATATAACACGAAAACCAATAAAATTTCATGGAATTAGAAAGACTATACTAACTGATTATCCATCTATCTTTTCTTTAGGTCTGGTTTTCAAATCGTCGAGCAAAATGGCGTCGCCATCAAAAAATCGCCAACATGCCACACATGGGCCATCATTCCTTAGTGGGCAGCTGTTTCCCCATGTGTCGTGAATGCGACATGGCTGATAGACAATGTTCCATGATTGGCAGTCATTACGACCAAACTCTGAATTCCTTGGACATGATGGCGAGAAGAGACATGGCATCAAGCTCGACGTCAACATCAATGATGCACTCAGAGACATCGAGCGGAGGCTGCGGACAGGAATGTTCTTGTTCCCGAGTTTAGCACTTCATGATCTGTAATCTACGATTACGGATGCAACATTTCTTGTAAATATAATCCCATTAAGACTGAGAAGGACATTGTGGACTGTAAATTTAAACAAAATGGTCATACAAAAATATATTCAGTCAAAAAATGCGTTTTTTTCCCCAGAAATTTGAAATTCAATATGACAATAATCGTAAAATGAATAGATGCATTATGAAAGGAAGAAACCTAAGAAAAGAGATTTATTGTTGAGACACATGTGATAGCTCAAATACAAATTGATCACGTGATCATCGAATTGTATAATCTTCCATATAAGGTTATTAGCAGAACAGTAGATTTTACTAAAATAAAAGGTCTTTTGACAGTGACTATTGACTGGTTTTATATTCATAAAGTAGAGGTTTTCACAAGCACGCGAAATCCAACTAAGGTCCGAAAAGTCAGTAAGCTATAATTTTCCATACTTTTTGCGTTGTAAAATTTATTTACGATTAACACATGACTCACTATTTAATAGATTAACAGAAAATTTGAGTGTCTCAAAATTATACAATTATTGGACCAATAAAAAGCAATAATAATCACTAATTTGCACACTGTTCTTTCACATTTTGTGCAGCAAAGCATGATGGTAGTTGTCTCGTACTGTTAAAGTCCGCTAAAAAGTCCTTGTGCAATGTTTTTTCTTCTTCTTTTTCTAAAGCCGAAATAAAAGTAGTTTTGCCGAAGAAAAGAAGCGTAAAAAATGCTGTTAATGAGATATTTTAGGGTCTATGTTAAGTCTGAGGACTACATCTACCAGATCATTCTTTGCTGCAAAAAAATGGCGTCTCTGCATATTTCCTATTGCATAACCAAAAGATAAGAATTACATAAAACGAAGCTACCGAAAAATGCAAAATCACAAAATTTGCATRTAAAAGAGTTCAATAGTGAACGACTCRAGGCCATTCAAATCATGTCAGAATTCGAATGCTATTGACCATAGAGTARACGAGCAGAAGACTAGAAATGCCATGTTTTTATAACTTTGTTTTCACGATAAGAAAGARCATATTTAAACTAGTGAATTGGCATATTTTTAGTTCAAATGGTAAAATATCGGCAGAGCTAYGAGGATTTAAAATGTACCAAAAWCGTGAAAACAAGGCTGGTAAGGCCTCAATACTGATTTTCATCGAAACCTTTGCAATTTCAAACACCTGTAATTTCTGGTCCTTAAATGTTAGAGCATTGAAACTTTCAGATCTCACTCATTATAATATGTTCTTTCAACGGGTAGTAATGATACATTGTACAACTTACAAACTCAGGCGTTACGATAGCCTCGCCCTTTTTCATAAGGTCCATATAAACTCAACAAAGAAACATTCACATAACATTTTTTCCAACTTTTTTATTCCAATTTTTCATGTTTACATTATGTCGATTTTTCCATTTCCTCGTCTTCATCTTCGTGTAATTCACTAGGTTGGGCTGTTGTTGTTTCTTCACCGTCAACTGGCTTCTTTTTCTTTTTTGACGAACCTTTCTTCTTTTTCTTTATTTTCTTCTTCGTTGGTTCGACACCTGAAAAAAAAGACACATTAATCTGGGGTTTGCTAAAAGCTTTTGGGAAATGTTTTTTACAAAGAAAAAAAAAACGCATAACAAGTACCTTTGCATTCGATACAAGTCCTTTCGAGAAAATCATCTACTTCAAGGTAACATCAAAGCTACACAAAATCTTATGAATGGCGGACAAAAAAATACCTCGTTGGGAGGTGGGAGGGGAAAATCTCTGTCATTCTGTTTGATTGCTATTTCTAGCAATAACGCTATAACTTCCTATATCTTGGCCAATTGTCTCTATACGGATAAAGCAGGCAACTTGCTAAATCGAAATTGGCGAGGGATTTCCTTTGGTAAAATGGGGAAGAGAAAATGCGACTACAAAACTAACACAGGACTCCCGTTTGTTCAGAAAGTACAACAAGGGATTTGATATCTCCATTGAGTACTTCTTCGAAGTCATCAAACTACTAACGCGCAGGCTTGCGTGGCGATTTAAATACTCTCTCACAATATGTTTTACCTGAATCTCGAGGTCTTTGTTCACTAATGTCATGGTCTTCTTGCTTCTCTTGGACTTTCTGTTCTGTTTCGGTATTCTTTTTAGAATGTGAAAGTTTTCCGGGATAAGAAACTGTTAAGCATGTCGGTCGTCCATTCATTTCATATCGAGCTAACAAGCTGGCTTCTTCTTCGAACTGTAAAACAGAAAAAACAACACAACGTTAAAGGCCTAGTGTGTATCATTATGCTTTGGGGCTCGCGAGGGCCGTGAGGCGGCCATTTTCAGTTTACCGAAAATCTATAAATTGTACTGTGTGCTTCAAATCTTTGACCATCTCAGTTTTCTAAGCTAATATAAGAGTTTTCAACCATCTGAAATTCGTTTTATGGTGATATTTGGATATTAGAAGTATTTTGGTGCAAATCATCACAATAACAGAGGCGCGCAAAGCACAATGGTGCAAACACAATTCTCAGTGTCTATTTAGCGTGGGATCATTTTGAAAAAGGTCTGGTGAATTGCTACGGGGCGAATTAGACGGCGCATCCTTACAACATGGCTACAACTGCCGTGGGGCATTAAAAAATTATTGTTAATCCCTACAACAGTTATGGATATGTTGTAAGGATGACTTACGCAGGTTGCATGCGATGGCTGTAGACAAAAGTTGTGCCGTATAATTCGTCGTTAACAATGATAATAATAGGCAAAGCATATCGACACTATTCCTTTCCAATAAAGAAATATTAGTATATCTGGAAAAAAACTCAACTTACATTGTCTCGATTAAAAGACCACGCCCTTAGATCACCATCCGATGAAACAGAGAAGACAAGAAGACATTTGCTGTCTTCGTCTGGGAATGGATTACAGACAACCTCGATTGCTTTGACTCTACAAATCACAGAAAAAAATCACATCAGTACCAAAGCAGGCTGTTTTCACTAGCAAACGATAAGCAGAGACAAATAGGGAAGACCACTTGCGCATCTGTAAAATTCAGTGTTCGGAGGGAAGCGGAGAGGAATATGAAAATTACATAAATGTAAAATATAAAATATAAAGTGGCTCATGCTTGAACCAGCAAACGGAAAAGGAAGTGATCAAGGAAACAGAATAGTAAATGAAAACGTTTTGTTCTACTAGCTTCAGTACTTCTGCCTCCTTCTTTATATCTACTTACTCCGCCCTACACAAATTCTCTGAGGGCCTCTACTACGATTATGACACTAGCCGTACCGTCGTACCATCCACTTACACCGTCCTACCCCAATAGTCAACTTTAGATATTTTGTTTCGATGACTATGTACAAAACAACGCACACCAGGCTCCGTGAAAACAATGGATAATCTTGATTTATTCTTTTATTTCCCCGGAGCCTCGTCTGCAATTCTTTTGTGCATGGTCACTGAACCAAAATATCTAAAGTCGGCTATTCCATGACTCCCTTTACTACAAGTACGGCACTAGCCGCACCTACGTGTGGTTTACATTTGCTACGCGACCAGTCGAGATCCTATGGTAATCCAAACACTGCGTGTACAGAAAAGACAATGAAAATGTATGCTTGATTGAAGCTAAGCTTGCACAAAAGAGAATTCGAAACTGGAGTGTTAGCAATAGACTGATGTCAATCAACTTGAAGTGCTTCGGCGCCAAACTATRGTTTACTTGAAAATTGGGTTGAYGGCAGTCTAWAGCTAATTGTACGTCGTGAATTTCTTCAGGGATAGTGTCGAGAACCATYACAAACGATGGCAAATCATAAAGCATCGATACTATTTGGACACATACCTGCTCTCATGRCCGGACACTGTCTGGATACAAGTTTCTTTCTCGATATCAAAGACTCGAATGCCATCAAATTCACCACCTGCCACGAGGTACTTTTCCTGGTAAAGATAAAATACATTACAGCCAAACAAGACCAAAGCCATTAAAGCGAGTGTAGTATTGAATTGAGGGAGGTGTTTATTTGAAGGGGAATCATTACATAATCACTTCGAGGTAACAAACAATTATGATATAGATGTATAGTTTAAATGTTCTGATAGGTCCAAGAGCGTGATTTATTAATGCAAGCTCGCGAGCATAACTAACTTTCTGTATCATAAAAGTAATAAAGGATGGTTTGCCGTACGTTTAACAGTTAAATAAAGCAAGTAAATCCTTCCTGTATTGCTTAAATAACAAGGACACACATCTGATCATGAATTGGGTTTAATCAAGATTCTCATAAAATTAGATTAAATCAATTTTAAACTAATAAATGCTCCAGTGAAAATTCAAATCAAATTTGCATATAGATGCCTTAATTCTGAATGGAGAAATAGTTGTCTCGCATACTAAGTTAACTTAAGAGCATTGCGTTTTTCGTTGTATTCACAAAGGTACTGAAATTCTCAAAAGATTATGAGAGACGATGATATGATGTTGTTTTGTTTTGTTATCAAGAATTAAACGGCCGTAAATACAACGGAAAGAGCATGCGCAAGGGCGTTGGGTGTACATTCCCACCTGGTCTTGACCAAACCATAATAACTGGGCTGTGTAGACAGACAAACGGTCCCACCCCAGGGGTCAATCTAAGCTAATATGGTATATGTTAAAAGATTGAATCTATGATCCATCTAATATGGACATCTAAGTCATTTCCATAAAACTCTTTAGTCTTTTAGTCTCACTTTTATCCATTCATCGCCTATACTTATCACTTTGTTTTGATTTAAAAATTTTGAACTAATCTAATTAATCTTATAAATTAATAAAATCGGCGCTYCTTCAACACATTGGTCTYGGCAGTTTTTGTCCTGGGGGTGGAGAAATTCCATCCACATCAAAAACTTTGTCATTGCCGGGACAATACTCGAACTCTTTGTAATAGAAGCCAAGGGTACGTCTCTCAGCAAAGGAATTCAGTGATGGACTTGCTGGTTTAAACGTAATCTGTTTCCCAGTGCTGTCCTCTACAATGATCTGKACACTATCAYCATCACCAGGGGTACCACGAAACAAATATCGAACCGTGTGATCTCCCTGGAATTTTTCTAGTTGTACAATGTACCCAACACCACTTTGGACTCGACCAATCTTTGTATCCTTCATTTCAACGCCCTTTGGGAGCAGGATGGCTAGGATGTTTTTACCTCCTTTGTCGTATATTATATCTTCACCTTTGTCGAGAATTAMAGAAAAGCTATCGTGGCCCTCTCCTGAGAGGACGCGGTTGTCACCTGTTGAGAGCTGTGCAAGTAATGGAGTGCTGGGATGCTTGTTGATCACAAAGTCATGCTTAGGTCCACCGGTGACYTCGATATAATCACTTTTTCCCCCTTCATTCTTAAAGAAGAAGAAATTGTTATGATCTTCGCTCATTTCCACCCTCTCGAAATTTGAGAATTCAATTTTTTGTGCAGTTGAATATGACGCGTCATTGAAAAACTCTACGTCTGGTTGAGAGAACTGAGAACGATATTCATCGATTGTTGAGCCTTTTTCAATAAGAAGGATGCCATTATGATTTTTAACGCCTTTATATTTTCGCAAAGAAAGTACRTCAAACTGGGTTTCTCCGCCAATGAYTGAGTCGTCTTTTTCAGCATTTGTTCTTTGACCTTCATACACAACGCGTTTAGGCTTCTGATTACTGGGATTCTGGKAAGATAACAAACGAGTYATCAAGTCAACGCTACCTTTATCCTTCTTGACAATGACCAAGTCAAGACCAACTCCAATCTYGATAGAATCGCGACCTTCTCCTCTTACAATCAGAGTATTTTCTCCAGTTGGAACTACAACTTTGTCGTTATTTACAATGATAGTATTTTGACCGGGTCCAGCATAGATTATGTCCCTTTCTGGACCTCCACCGCTCAAGAAAGATTTGCTGCTTGACAAAGTTGCCAAAGTGTCAATGTCGTCGTTTCCCTCTCCTCCATCGATCTCCACTCCTTTTTCACCGACATTTTGTTCCAAAACAAATTTGTCGTTCCCTCCCATTCCATAAGCTTCACAATTGTCATCTAAAAGAACTTTATCATTGACATTGTTGTTTCCCACGAAAATCAACCTATCGGAACCGTGAGGTACCGCTTTGGGGCAAAACGTGTAGTCCTCGGCGGCTTCACTTGGACAGTCGACAGGTTTTTTAAAGTCATTGGTGTAAGTTGCCACAAACAAAGAAACAGGAGAGAGTTGGTCAGAAATTCCGAACTTATTTCGGACGTCACGTTCTGCTTTCCATCCTTTCACACTGTAATGGTCCGTTTTAGAAAAACTCGGGAAGGCGAATAACACTTTTTTGGGTTTAATCAATTTGACGGTTTTTTGTAAACTTTTTGCCACTTCTTCCTTAAATTTGTCTAAACGATTATCGTGAACCAGGAGTGCCAGAAACCTCAATATAACTTGCCATTTGGATAGCTCCGAAGTTCCTTCAATCTTATCGGTTATCGCTAATTTTGCCATTATCATAGCACCAAAATAATGTCTTGTGAAAAGAAGGTGGTAGGCTTCAATGTAATTTCCCTTGATAGTTTGATCGATGACATCAACAAGAGTTCCGAACGAGGGATCTGGTATCAAAGGTGTAAGAAATATCTTGACGTAGTCCTTGGCTTCAAGATTTGAAGTATCCACAAGGCCTTGAGCGACTGCGGTTCCATACGAAACAAGGTAAAGCGTTGCACCTATTGCATACCCCACTGGACCAGCAACACTACTCGCACTTGCAATGATTCCAGTTATTCCCATGGTCACGTCACCAGCCAAAGCCGTGACGGAGCTTGTTAAACCCAAGATGTTCCCATTRGTAACTTCMTCATTGAGCGCCATAGAGTTTACAACGGTATTATAGCCATTGATGGCAGCATCAAAGAAATTCCCAGCACCAGCTTTGAATGATCGAAACTTTAGTGATGTCTTTCCCCATTTSGYTTCGAGAGCGTCAAATACTCCTGARTKAGMCAGAGCCAAATCCACCGCGCTACCAAGATGGCCTCCAGTTTGAGTTGAAAGATAAGCTTGGACCTCCTTGAGTTTATCCAGGAGAGACTTGTCCGCCCACAGAGATTTGTCTTTTAGTTTTTCTTTCAACAGCCATAATATGTTCCTCACAGCATTGAGCTGTTGAAGGCCATTGTGAAGTTTATCGTTTGTAGGGTTCGGCTTCCCMGCGAAACCAGCCGCTTTGTCGCTCTTGATGACATTGATATTTTGAAGKGCCTCGGTGAGCGTTACCGCAGCATCAACAGTTGCTAGTGATCCAACCACAGCGAAATTCCTGTCTTCAAAACTTGCCTTCATGTCGGGTTGCGACGCTTTCACTTCTTCGATATATTTTAAAAGGTTTTCTTCGTAGGTCATCTCCGCTCGACGACGCACTAATTTCATCGCCTCTTCATTGCCGTTAACACGTCCAGGTAAAGATATATCGGTATAAACATGAATTGCCTCTAAACGCTCAAACTCGCTCTGCATTCCTGGGATTATCCCAAGAACAAGAACAAAAACGATGAACATCATAACATTGAATCGGTTATTTCGAGTTCAAACCAAAAAGATCACTCCCGGACAACGTTAAGCTTACGTATTTTGCCGGACCTCAGGGAAAAGGTGTTCTTTTATATCTAATAAGTTAAAAACCGAAACAATGTCCGTCAATTTCCATGACAAATATTAATTAATTGGTCCTTCAATAAAGTGTATCGATGATGAAGCTAATTTAATTAAGAAAACTTATAAATTACACATTAACTATTATATGAATCCGAGCATCCCTTGCAGGTATTATCCGACAAATTAATTTGCTCTTTAATTAAATGACAAGAAATGAACGGCACTGATTTTTATGAAACTAAAATATTTCCAATCAAATTATTTTTCGCTCGGAATTCGCCTTCATATGTCCTTCCTGAACAGGTTCCTCTTTATTGCAATACGACATTTTCTAGGGCCTCCGCCGTTATTTTCACAGTATTTCCAGATCACTTTTAAGTTTACAAAGTAACTATCAACAAATGAGAGAATTTTAAGTTTCTTTTGGAAATTATGTTTACGAAGTAGCACTTGAAAACTAAACTATTTTGAGCACTTTTGAGAATTTTGTGCGAAATTGAGAAACAATTTACTATTTAAAAATAATTAATTTTTATCAAATTGTCAAAACTAGAGATTGACAAGTCCATGGATGAAGAAAAGTTAATAAATAGATACCAGTAAAGGGGCAAGAACGAGTATATGATACACCTGCTTTGAGCTTGTCATATTAAAATGATTCTACGAAAAAAGACGCGTGCTTGTGGTTGCTTGTGCCATTTTCCTGTATTTCGCATTGTTCTTCTTGTTCCTAATCTTCCCATTAAGTTACCTCTCATTGCAATAATCAATAGCTGTCTCTACCTGATTCTTCCTTGCAATTCATTGAGAACACAAGGAAGAAAACGCCATTAGTTGTATACTATACCGTGACACAAGCAAATTCTTGCTGTAAAAGTACTGATTAAACACTGACCTGCCACGTTTGACTATGATTCTAAAAGTTGATGAGTTATTTTTATTCTTATTCATGACACAACATCTAAAGCAGCTGTTATATATTCTTTATCCAAAATTCTTTATCCAAAACAAACCACAAAGACACTCAACAAGGAAGTAAATAATAAGAAATCAGGGGGAGGGGGGGGGGAGGATTCGGAAAATTTTCAGTCAGAATAAGCATGAATGTGAAAATATCATTCGTAAAGGTAATAAAATCGATAGTGGCCAGGCATTACAAAGTTCGCGCGCATGATATAATATGTAGGTTTTGAATATTCTACATTTCTAATGGTTTAACCATAAAACTAATGAACAGAGGACATCTTGAAAAGAAGCCGAGACTCAGTTTACATCAAAGAGAAACAGCGGTAGAGCCTGCTGTGACCGATAGCTGGCTTTTATTCCATCATTTAAGCCCAAACACTGTCTCTGTCTGATGCCAAGATTTTGAATGTTGCGTTAGGAACTATTACATGTAGTATTAAGTACTTTTAATATAAAGCAACTCACCGTTAAGAACTGAATGGCAAGAACAGGTCGCGGTAGTTCAAGGGTACATGACAGTGAAGCAGTCTGTGATAAAGAAGAAAATCCAAAAATCAATCAAAATAAACTGAATCAAATGAAAAGATAAGAATATAAAATCAGTATAGAACGGTACAGAATGGAGAAAATTGACCATCAAAATCGACTAAATTAGTAATACCAAGTTTGAACTGAAACAGCATCAACGTTAAACGTTAAGGCGGATTTCGTATGGCCATTCAAAATCTATAATTTGCACTTTCGTGCCAACGTGATGGGGATGTATKTTTGAGCCAGCACTTTCATTTGGCAACACTACCAGGCGAGGGGTTCGAGACCGTGCCGTGATTCCTGCTTTTGTATTGCATAGCCGTGCGAAATCCGCTCTATGACTCACGAAAATGTGAGTATATTAGATAATTCTAACATTTCTCTGTCAAATAAATGAAATTGAAGCTGTATTTCACTTGTAGACTCACTGAAAAGAGGAAGCTGTATTTTGGAAATGAACTGAAGTGTTTCCTAAACCACACAGAATAGTTTACACTATTCGGCGTGTGTGTTTTTTCGGTCATTGTTTTAAAATGTAGGTTGAGAGATTGCTGTATTATAGCACACTAAAACCGTACTAACAGCCAACTTTAAGTTACCTAAACCACACAGAACAGTTTACACTATATAAGCGTGTGCGTTTCTTCGGTCATTGTTATAAAATGTAGGTTGAATTGACTACTGTTTAATAGCGCACTTAAATCGTACTTACAGCCAATTTATAGAGGACAATTTTATTTCCAATCACTAAAGCATAGCAGTCTCCTGACGGTGACCATTTTATCAATGTTGCATCTACAAACACAAAATCAGCAGTACTAGTGTCAATATCTATCCATATACATGTACAAGTCTTTGGCCTACAGTTCTCAGGGCCTATGGCTTCACTTCTTTGTATTGTATTTACGTTGTACAGTTGCAAAGATATAAAGCCAGCAACAAAGKCATTTGCATAAAAATGTTTAAAATCCCCCCCTGGAGTAAGAATTTCATTTAAAAACTCAAGGCAAATAGCACATTAAATGTTATTCACATTACAAATACGTTTTACAACTTAATGTTGACAGTCCTTGTAAACATATAAAAATATATGCAAATGACTTCTTCATGTCTTAACAATGTTGTCAACTGAACAACATGAATGAGATTGACGGTATCCCTTCCATTCAATATTTTAATTATTATTTACTTTAGTTTGAGCCCTCAATAACAAAAATCTCACCTTCTTTGATATGTGTGACATAAGCAGATCGTCCAGTCACCAAGTTCCAAGTCCTAAAACATTACAATAAAACGACACAGATTTTACCTTAGTTGAATTTGTTTCATCAAATGTGATATTTACCTGAGATGCTTATCTTTTGAAACAGACATTGCTAATCTTCCTGAAGGATGAACAGATATGGAATTTACAGTCCCTCTGAAAACAAAACAACAGAATTGTGTTATTTTATCCAAACCCTCTGATATGCACCACTTTTCCCCAGAAATGGCAAACATACACTATACATGTACATTAACTAATTTAGGAAGAAGCAAAGATGTAAGAAATATACTGCAGTTAAAGTACTATTCAGTGGACAGCAGTAATGACTGAGCAGTTAAAATGGTGGTCTACATCTATCACTGCTTCAGTCCCATTTCAATTCCTGCTCTGGTCCTACATATCATTTGAGTTGAGAGCCTGGTTCTCTTCCCTGCATCAAGCTCTCTGTAAAATCAAAAGCCATTTAGAGCAAGGKAGAGAACCAGCCCACAATCTTAGATTAAATATGGTGGCTAAAATGGAAACCAACTTCAAAGTTCTTGAAATTTGTCGGACTTGGACCTTAAAGGAGTTTCTAAACTTCATATTGTAGGACGTCAAAATAATTTCAACTTTTACCCCTCCTTTGACACACAGAAAACACAATGTTCAAAGTTATTGAATTCTTATTATAATATTGTCTTACTTGTGTCCTTTGAGGACCTTCAAACATTCCCAGGTTTTGCAGTCRTAAACACATATAGTTTTATCTTCACTGGCACTTAACATGTGGGTATTGCCACAAAATGTCAAAGATGTCACTGAACCTAAGGTATGTGGGTAAAACTCAATTATTGCACAGTAGATATGTATGGSTATAACTTATACATATTGGGTAAAACAATACATGCATCAAGAACRATGCATCCCCATCTTGAAGATTGGGACTCAAATCTCCTTTAAGAAATTAAAAGGTTCCAAACYAATGTCAAGTTGATATAATAGATTACATATCATAGATTAGTTGACTTWGCAACTTCGAAATGGCTCAACAAAGTGATTCGAGTCTCAATCTTCCTGAAGGATGAACAATTTTCAAAATGGTGGATGCATTGTTTTCTGCTCCTGATGTATATTGTGAAGGATAAATTCCATACATGCATGTACATGGTAAGTTATKCATGTAAATGGGACCATGTAAATCAGGTGTATTAAACATGGTTG